CTTCCTTCCTTCCTTCCTTCCTTCCCTCCCTCCCTCCCTCCCCTCCTTTCCTTCCTCCCTTGGTAATTTCAAGTAGAAGAATTTTTTGTTGGGTTTTTTTTTTTTTTGGTTTAATTACTTATTTTGCTTCCTATTTCCTTGGTACTAAGACAGTCCTTTGCTGAAGAAAGAATTCATCTGGCTGTAGGAAGGAAGGAATTTGGGAGAAGATGTTTCAGCAACTAAGAGCAAATCCCCAGAGTCCCAACCTAGCAATCACCATGATGACCTTTCTTCCTGTGCAGTTGTTCCTACTGCTGAGCAAGATACAGAGTGCTTGTGGTTCAGCTTCTTGCTCATGAACATGTTAGGCATCTCCCTCTTCCCTGTGCTTCAGAAAGGCATGGCTGGAACATTGTGGATCAGGGCCCTTTGGGTGTCTAGGACATCTGGGCAACATGCGTCTTAGTCATCCCAGGAGCTCTCCTCTTAAGTCCTTTGACATGTTAGCACATTAGCTAGATATCCATCTAGGAATGCCCTGCCTCCTCACCTCCCCCACATTGCTGAGCTTTTTTTTTTTTTTTTTTAGACTGAAATCATAGCACATTTTCCAGGGAGAAGGTCCCATTACACTGGGGAGCTCTTATTAATGGGGACAGACACAGCATCAGTAATAATATATGGCAGTAGCATGGATCCTCTCTGCATAATTTCTTGCTTGCCCTTTTTGAGTGACACACACAGTACCAACAAAGCCTGCCTATCTATCTATCTATCTATCTATCTATCTATCTATCTATCTATCTATCTATCTATCTATCTATCATCAGTACTTTTGGGATATTACACTTAACGTTGTTTCTATTGCTGCTTTTGTGCTGTAATTCTGGAAGATCTGTGATCATATGTCTCTTTCTCTACCCATTGAAATTCCTGATCCTAAACAAAGGATAAGTGTTTGCAAGATGCCAGTGTAGTTGGTCTTATACAATATTCATGAAGAGGAACAAGTGAGAAGAACCCACAGCTTACTGTCTCCTGCACTGTTGCTATAATTTTTAAATCACCAATAACTAGTCTCTCCCTCCCTCCCTCTCTCGGTATGTAGCTAGCAATAATTTGTCTCTCTTTTTAATAATTGTCTTAGGGTGTTCCCGGTGATCCTGGAGCGCCAGGGCCCTTAGGTCCAAGGGTAAGTTTGATTTCTTAATAATGACATTCCGTAACAAATTTTCTGAGTATTTTCTAAATCCAGTTTTGGAAGAGAAAGAATCGTGAATATTATAATAGAGAGTTACAGAAATCTCTAAATGGCGTTGCATACATTACAGTTTGAATTCATTATGATGTGCACATTTTCTCCAGTGCTGTGATAAGCAAAAAACAAACAAAAAGAACCTATACAACATTAGATTGTGCAGGCTTTGAGTCCATTCATCTGAAATATTTTGAATCTTTGATTTTTCATTCCAGTGGGACTTTATTCTGTATCAGATTCTAGAACCCCCTGTGTTTTCAGTTTGTTTCTGTTTATTAACCTGTATGTTTATATTGCTTCACATAGTCCTGTGCTATGTACATCCCACTGTACATGCAATTTTTGGGTGCTTGTCATTCAGGTACTAGATTGACACAGACCCACTTAGCTTTAGAGATGAAAGTTTATTGGAGGACACCACAGTAATATCTGCAACCATGCGATGTGTTGCAGTTTTAATGAGTAACAACACCTCCACAACTTATGACAATTAGGAGAAACTCTTAGGTTTATATGAAATGTGAGACCACTGTACAAAATCTGCAATGTAAATAGAGATAGTAACTCTGGGCAGTTGGAGCTCTCAAGTGTTTTGATCCAGAACTTGGCATTGGCCATTTTGGCTGAGTTGGATGGAGTTGAAATTCAAAATATATGAAGGACATCAGATCACTATCCCTGAAAGAGGAAGGGCAGACAGTTTTGAATATTCTGTAAAAAAATGTTGCCAATGTCAGCAGGTTGATCTTTCAACTGATTTTTGTAAAATTCATTTCTAATATGTATGGAATGGGTTATCTCTTGTTTGATATAAAAATCACAAACGTTTAGCCAATACATTTACCGTCACTAAATTATTTTAAATGTTATTTCCAGGGAGAGCGTGGCAATCCAGGTGAAAGAGGAAACCCAGGATCATCTGGTCTTCAGGGAGAAAAGGGTATGGCTGGTGGTCAAGGTCCTGATGGTCCAAAGGTAAGGAGTGCCCATATATAAGTGGGTGTGCTTGTCTGCGTGCACCATATGTCTCCATATATAGAGAGTGGATGATGCTGAAGAATGCTTATAGTAATATTCATCTAACTGAGTAATAAAATAGAGGTAAGGACAACCTTAAGGTGATCTTGACTCCTGGCAACTGCATCCATGAAATCTTTTTGACAATGTTACAGAAGCGGCTTGCCATTGTCTTCCTCTGGGATGTTTTTCCATCTTCCCAGTCTAGCCAACATCCTGGAATTCCTAGGTGGGTGTCCACACAAGGACCAAATCAATAGCTAGAGTCAGTCAGTGGACCTCATTAACTCCATCTTGAAATGGTTGACAGGTAGCATTTGACATATATGGAGTAGAAAATAGTACTTGGCATATGTGGAAGTTAAATGAATTTGGTAGTGAACCTGGGATTATGCCAAGACAGATAGCACTCCTTTTCTCTCTTAAAAGGCTTACGAAGTAGGAAAGATCCAACTTTCTTGAGGCCATGTTGTTAAGCTCTGCTAGCCCTGGAGAAACTATTTTCGTTTAATCATAACATGAAGCTTGCATTGCAGAAAAAAGATAAGCCCAGTTACTAGAAGACAGAGGGGATTGGTTTTTTAATTTAAAATATGAGAGAGGGATAAAACAGAACTGTTTGAGTTTTTTTTATTTTTGTTTTTGCTTATTTACTAGTATGGACAAAATATATTTCACAGAACAGAGTTTCTCTAAAGAATATATCAATGGGACTATATGAGTGAGGGTATTTTGAAGCATTACAATCCTTTTTCTATAGACTTATTTTCCACTACATTTGTTCCTAATTTTATTTGGTTAATAAAAGGGCTAAAAGGAAGGGAAAGAACTCAAATTTACGCATACCTTGGGAGGGTATGAATTCACAACATCTTTGACATCTTTCAAGTGTTAGGAGACAGATCTAATTGAGCTCTAATTGAGCTCTATTAAAACCCATTCTGAAGTAGTTCTGTTGAGCAACCACATTCAGACAATGAAACATTTGTTGAGCCACTGTTTATATAACACTGTAGCATTACTATTTATGGCTGGTGGGCTGTGTTTTTGGTGGGCCACAAGTTGAAGATGTCTGAATTACTTTTCAGTTTAGGATAAAGGTGACTCCTTATGGTACATCCTAACATGACATTCTTGTGTTCTGGACATGGGGAAATGCACTCACCTAGAAAATACAAGAAGGGTCTGTCCAAGAAATAAATAAATGAGTACGACCACAAATTGGTTACCTCCCCCCAAATTACCTCCCACCCTTTCATTTCCCTTTCCTTTTCTTTCAGGGTAATCCAGGCCCCTCGGGAACCCCAGGGGATCAAGGCCCTCCTGGTCTTCAGGGAATGCCTGGAGAAAGGGGTCTGGCTGGAACCCCTGGCCCCAAAGGTGATCGGGTAAGCCTTTTAGAAATATCCATGAGTTCTCCTTCCCATAGGAAGACATTTTTTTCCTACACATCTCTGTATAATTGTTTGTAAATGACTTGAATTTTCCTTATGCTTTTTTCAGGGCAGTGTAGGAGAAAAAGGAGGCGAAGGCACAGCTGGCAATGATGGGGCCAGAGTAAGTGAAAAGTCCTCTTTTTCTGCTAATAGTGCTGGGTCTTAATGAGAGATTGTAGCTAATAGTGTATTGCAGCATGTTTTTGATATCAAAGTGTTAGTAAATCAGAATTGATTTGTGGGAGAGTCTCATGTGGTGTAAACATATTATTTTTAGAAGCCAGATATGCCATTTGAAGGCAACAGAATCCATTCGAAATAAAGTTTTGTTGTGATCCATTGGGGTTCTTAGCTCTTATTCTAGTACAGAGACTTTGATATGTTTAACATCCTAAATATCAGTGGACCAGTTTGGCTTTCTTTATTGAGGAAAGGAAGAAAGGGAAAAATAAGATCTTGTACAAACCATGAAAGTTTGCTTGGCTTACTGGAATGTATGATTGTCTCCTAGGGACTCCCAGGTCCATTAGGGCCTATTGGCCCTGCAGGTCCGGCTGGTGAAAAGGTAAAACAATTAGTGATATTATTGCAATGGGTTTATTATTATGTTATAGTATAACCATTCAGGACTATGCATGATAATATCTCATAGCCTTTTTTTACTTAAGGGTGAACCTGGTCCTCGAGGTTTAGTTGGCCCTCCAGGCTCCCGTGGAAATCCTGTAAGTAGAGAATCCCATTGTCTGTATTTTCATAAGTTGGATGTTGGTATTGTTATTATGCATGATGGCAATTGTTTTCACTGTTTTTTCTTCTTTCCACTTATTCATTCATTCATTCCTTTCTTTCTTTCTTCTCTTTCTGTAAAACTGCTAATTGAATAAATGACTGCTGCCTGTGGATTTATAAAAAGGACATCCCATTTTGAATGTAATTGTATAATATTTAAAAATTACTGCATATTTTGCTTCAGTTAAATTATATATTACATCAGCATAATTCTATATACCATTTTCCAAGAATATGATTGATAAATAAATAAACAAACAAACACCCACCCACATACATATACTGAGTCTTTCCAACTCAGATTTCCTGTCCTAGCAGTTACAGAGTTCCAGTTAGGTGGTGGTGGTGATGGTGATGATGATGATGAAAACATTTAAATATATTAATGAGAGTGTGTCTATATGTATGTAGGTGGGTGTTTGTTTGTTTATTTATTTATCAATCATATTTATATAGCCGCCCATCTCACACAAGGTGACTCTGGGCAGCTTACAACAATAAAATAAATAAATACATAAAAACATGTATAAAAAACAGTAAACACACACATCAGCTTATTTTTTACCAGAATAAATCCAATTTATTTATGAAGTTATATTATAAAAAAATGGCATGTTGTGTCCTCAAATATATGTTTTTAATATTCTTTTGGAACCCATTTTCCTTTGTTTCCTTTTGCTCAGGGTTCCCGTGGTGAAAATGGCCCTACTGGCCCAGTTGGATTTGCTGGCCCTCAGGTGTGCAGTTTCTTTGAATTACCACATGTTATTTCAGCGAGGGAGATCTTGAACTATTCTGCGGGATTCTTAAACACGAGGCGCATGCTAGGATTTTTAAAAATAGCATTGATATCAGCTAAAAATAACGTTTATAGCATAGGCTGGGATGAGATGAAAGAACTGGGCTGGTCATTTCTCTGAATGTTTCTAGGGTCCTGATGGTCAACCTGGTGTGAAAGGGGAGCCTGGGGAGCCTGGGCAGAAAGGAGATGCTGGATCCCCAGGACCTCAAGGTCTTGCAGGTTCTCATGGTCCACCAGTAAGTAAAAACAGCACTGAAATAAAATTCTGCTTCCTATCATTTTTTTTGGGGGGGGGCAACTGAATATTTATCTTCTTTTTCTTATTCCCACTCAGGGCCCTTCTGGGGTTCCTGGACTCAAAGGAGGCCGTGGTACAAAAGGACCACCCGTAAGTTGATTGAGTAAAGTTCCTATGAATACAGTGCTAGCTTTTATTCTGATTGGGTTGTTTATGACTTTCTTAGCATCGTGGTACATTTCAAACATGATTTTTAAGTCTTTATATGATAAAGAATGCTTGTCAATATAGTACATAATTGTTGCTAGGTTCCATGTATGTATGTTTCTTTATTTCTAGGGTGCTACAGGTTTTCCTGGATCTGCTGGAAGGGTTGGACCCCCAGGACCTACGGTAAGTTAGATGTTTAATTAAATATGTTACAATAAAAAAAATCATTAAAAACAAGCATTTTAAAACAATATGAACATATTGAAGATCAGATGATTTTTTAATATCAGTAGTACAAGCCAATGCCATTTTGTATTTAAATAATACAGAAGCAGGAAACTTGTAGTCCTCCAGATGTTGCTGAACTACAACTCCCCTTCATCAATGGCAAAAATAGAGGGATGCTGGGAATTGAGATTCAGGAACATTATCCGGATCAGAGGTTTCCAGCCCTTGAGATAATATGTGAATGTGTTATAACAGATTATGAATTATATGGGGAAGATTTTTCCACCACTGCTCTGCTGATGCTCTTAGGCCAAGGCATTGTCTCTCCTACACTGCAGGATTGTCATAAGACTAAAAAGGTAGAAACATGGGCATCCACAGATGGTGAGTAAAAATCTGCAAGTTGGTGAGCATGGTGTTACAACTGGAGTGGAGTTTCACACTGTGCTCAACAAATTGCAGTTCTTTAGCCCTCCTTGTGTATGCCCTTAGGTGGGAGGATGATATTAATATAAACAGTTAAAGTTGGAGACCAGTGCTACACAATACATTTCTTGTAAGTTAGAAGATGTTGTAAATAACATGCTGTTTCATCTGGAAGGAAATTCTACTTTGTGTGCATGAAATACTATATATATTTAGAGGCTGGATGAATTCTATCACCTGGCTCAAGACAGTACAAAGAAATTATTGGGACTCTAAAACTTTGAGGACTATCTTGCATTTAAAGCAAAAATAACTGTCCTATGTGTACGATTATACTGAACAGTAAGTAAGTCTTTATTGCGGTTTTTGACCAGCTTGAGAAGATTTCAGTAAAGAGATAAGAAGCAATAATATTAAAATCCAAATTAAAAATTATAAGATTAAAATTAATTACATGAATGTTGGGACCATTCACGGAGTTGTATTTAATAATACAGGAAGTATGCAGGAGATACATTTCAACAGTAACCTAACGGCAATCTACAGGTAGTCCTTGCTTAACGACCACAATTGCAACAGGCATTTAGGTCGCTAAGTGATGCAGTCATTAAGTGAATCATCATGTGACTGGACCCAATTTTATGACCTTTTTTGCAGCAGTTGTTAAGCAAATCACCATGGTCGTTAAGTGGATCACATGGTTCTTAAGTGAATCACATGATTGTTAAGCAAATCATGTGGTTCCCCATTGATTTTGCTTACTGGTAGCCGGCTGAGAAGGTCACAAATGGCGATCACATGACCCCAGGATGCTGCAACCATTGTAAGTGCGAGCTGGTTGCCAAGTACCCAGATTATGATCATGTAACTGCGGGGGCACTGTGACAGTCATAACGTTGGGGATTGGTCGTAAGTCACTTTTAGCACCATCGTAACTTTGAATGATCGCTAAACAAATGGTCGTTAAGCAAGGACTACCTGTATTACATGTTCAGGGTATGTAATATAGGACCATGATTATTTCCTAGGAAAGCAAGATGGAGAAGATACTAAAAATAAATAATACATTTTGCTGAGGCTTAGATCAGGGTCTGGATCTGATCAGCATAAGAATGGAAGACTGCTGATCAGATAGGAAGCATCCTAGCTATACTCTTTGGAGCAGTAGTACGCTGTAAATGCAATAAAGAAAAGAAATTATATCACTATCTTGTCCAGTTCTAACAGAAGTTTTTGTATGCAGGGAGCTCCTGGTCCAGCTGGGCCTCTTGGTGAACCAGGCAAAGAAGGTCCTCCAGGTGTTCGTGGAGATCCTGGTGCTCATGGTCGAGTAGGAGATAGAGGGCCAGCAGGACCACCTGGCAGTCCTGGAGACAAAGGAGACCCAGGAGAAGATGGACAACATGTAAGGGGGTGGGGGCTGGGAAGTAGGGAAAAGTATATGCTTGCAATAGAAATAAGGAAAGTTTTCATTCTAAATGATTTCTTGTTTCTTTCAAGAATTTAATCATTTATATACCCTTAGAAGTATATCAAAATCATCTCATTACCAGGAGCTACAAAGCCTACAGGAATATATTTTTATGGCAATGCTTCTGTTCTATGACATAGCTGCCCCTTTTGTTTCCTAACTTTGTTAACTCTCCTTTGCCACAACAGCCCCTCCTTTCTTCTTTTCCTGGTTTTTTTTTTCCTTATTCTTTCATGCATCCTAATCCACATGTCCCCAGGCTTTTTTTAAAACATGAGGATTCTGTTTTGGAGCTAAAGGAAATAACATAACAAGTGTTGGGTGGGGTTACCATATCTGAGCAGACAAATTCTGGACAGCCTCTGGACAGAGTTGGAGCTTTCTGTATTTCTTTGCTGCTCTCTAGATGGTTGTCTGGTTTTTTTCTTAGCCCAGATGTGATAGCCCTGATGTTTGGGAAAGAGTACAGAGAAACCTTGATGCCAACTCAAAGGTCAAAGGGTCATAGAACCTTTGTCTTCAATTTTTTTTTCCTAAATCACTTCTTTAGAGCAGTGGGAACTGAAAACATATTTTATAGCTGAAGCTTTCAGTGGCATCACACTTTCTCACATTTCTTGATTGGCTCAGATGCTAAACTATGAGACCCTGGTTGAGTATAAATGTTAGAGGTTGCTAAGTGAGCCTATTTGTTACTTATATATTCCAGGGTCCTGATGGCCCCCCAGGTCCAGCTGGAACTACTGGGCAGAGAGGCATTGTAGGAATGCCAGGCCAACGTGGAGAGAGGGGCATGCCTGGCCTGCCAGGTTCTGCAGTGAGTATTGCCAGAACTGGCATTTTAGACTACGCATTCAACCCTGTTTTACATCTGCAAGACTGTAGCTATGGTTGACTCCCATTTGAACTGACCTAAATCATGTCTGATTGTTTTGCTATATATCACTTCTGTGGATTTAAGTATTGACATGGTCTCTCTTTTCATGCCAGGGAACTCCCGGAAAACAAGGTCCAACAGGACCACCAGGGGACAAGGGTCCTTCTGGGCCCATAGGTCCTCCAGGTGCCTCTGGTCCAGTGGGTGAAGCAGGACCAGAAGTAAGTGGTTTTTCCTAGGCCATTTTGATATAAGAATGTAACAGTGTTGATATAAGAATATAACAGTGTTATGGATTCAAATAACTGCTGTGAATAAATGTAGGAATTTCCATAGCTTCCATAGATATATTTCTTTCACCAAAAATGTATTTTTATCACTTTGATCCTTAAGGAAGTCAGTCCCAGGTGTGGGCAAGTTTTTTCTACTGAAGGTCTCAGTAGAAGTATTGAGGGTGATAATCTGTTAGAGGCTACAATGTGGTTGGAACTGAAGGAAATAGTGGGGAAGAGCTAAAAGTGGCTGGTAGCATCCATTCCGTTTTGGACATGTGGTTTCTCCCCATCTTTCTGGCATTCAGTTTTTCTCTCCTTTATTTTTGGCTGAAGGAAAAATTCATATAGGTGTTACTCACCTCTTGCATTTGAGCTTTGAAATTAAGCCGAGAGTTACCGGCTGTCCATTCCTGGCCTAGGCCATAAAGATTAGGAACTTGAACAAGAGGCCAGTGTAATTGTTTCAAAAATGGCAAGTACTGTAAACCATTCTCTGTTAGTGTTATAATCTAGTTGGTTTTAGTAGTTTCAAAAAATGCAATTAAAAAAAAAAGATTGCTGCAACAAGCAATTACTTTGTTAAGCAATTTTCATGAAATAGCAATATGAATATTGCTTTTGATAAGATATTATCAACACATATTTAAACTGCAGTCATTGGAGCTTCCTTTTGTATGTCTGTGGTCATTCTGTAATTTCCAAGCCTTTTTCAAAGGCAATCCCATATATAAAATACAGTTTTAAGACGTGTCTGGTGTCACATTGAATCCACTTTTCCACTTCTCATTCAACTTAGGGTCCTGCTGGTAATGATGGGACTCCTGGGCGAGATGGAGCTGTTGGTGAAAGGGTAAGTGGGTTTAAAGTGGCTTAAAAACAACAAAGTTGTTGTTTTCTTGTTGATCTAGAGTCTTATATCACACTTTATACTTCAGTCTTTGAGAAAAATCACAGTCAAAACTCTTAATGAGAATGGATGCTTTAAAGCAGACCCAGTTTTAAAACTGAACAATGTGTAATATAAATGTATCTAGTCTAGAATACAAACCCAAGGATTTGTTCTGCGGCTACATGAGTATAACTTTAGTAAGGACAGGAGTGAAAAGATGATAATTCACTATGTCACATATAAGATGTTGGAAGTTAAGCTAAGTTAGCAGAAGCGGGGCCTGCAATAAAATGCTGTTTTTGCTGTTGTTGTTATCACCATTATTGTTAATAAAAGTTCTATGCCTCTCTACTCCCAATGGCTCAGAATGGTGTAGAAGTTAAACCTGAGGATTAAAAATAACAAAACAGTAATAATCAATATGCATTGTAATGTCACTGATCAACAGGGGTAGATACCCAAATCTAATATCCCCCAAATGCTTTCTCCCAGAGTCAAGTTCTTACTTCTTCATAAACACTCATTAGGGAGGAATGGTTCTTCTATGTGAAGGCAAATTGATCTATAAGTGGTGCAAAAATCTTGCAGTGTAGAGTGCTCCTCTTCAGAATGTTATCTTTTCCAGGTTCCTTCATCCCATTCTTTTTTTCTGGTGTTCCAGGTTCTTTTTCTCCAACACACACATTCATTTGTCCACTAAACATGCTTAGTCCTTATTGGACTGTTTTGCAGAATTGTTCCTGTCTCATGGTTTCTGTCCCAGTTGTATATAGATGATAGTAGTAAACAGTAGCAGCAGCAGTAATAATACAGGATGGCATCATTTTGTCTATATAAAGATCTGCACTTGGAAATGATCTATATCTGATTGTAGAACTGGAATAATATTTATTGTAGGGTGATCGTGGTGAGCCTGGACCTTCAGGACTTCCTGGTTCTCAGGGTATTTCAGGCACCCCAGGGCCAGTTGGACCTCCAGGGGATCCAGGACAAAGAGGTGAACCAGTAAGTATTGCTGTTTCCTTATTAGTTGCCTTTCACTGGCAGAACTCTTGATCAAACAATCAAGTCCCCATTATCATTTACCCTTCTTAGACAGAGTTCATGAAATAAGGGTTAAGGAATTATCTGGCCATGAAATGAGGTGGCTGATGAATTTCTGTTAACATTTACAGTAGATTTGCTGCTGTAGTTTCTTAGATGGCCTGGACCTGTCATTTGCCAAGCTGTAGTGTAGGTTCTTTATGACGGTCTTATATAAAAGGGCTGTTCAGTTAAAAATGCTGACTAAGGGAATGAATGCTCTAAGTCACAGGTTCTTAATCTGGGTTCCATGGATTTCAGGGATCTGTGAGCTTGGATGGGAAAAAATTTACAACTCCAGCAACCTTGGGGAACCTGCGTGATGGTTGTATTGTGTTTAGATGGATGTTCTTCTGCAATCCATTTTTTTTATTTTTTTTATTTTTTTATTTATTTTTAAAGTGTTTTTAACAATTGTGACATTGTTTTAATTTACTTTAATCAATACACCACCCAGAGTCACGTTTGGTGATATAAGCAGTCATATACATGTATTTAATAAATAGAGGATAAATGACAAACTTTATTTTCACTAACTTCAGCTGAAATTTAGCTTTTCATTCAGTTACAGACCACAAAGAAATGTATGGCTTCTAGTCTCCAAAAATGTTTGTTCAATAAATCTCATTATCTAAAATTATTACAATGATTTATACTTTGCTAACTGCATTTGACCATAATTGGTTTCCTCTGCAATGCAACTTATGCATTTTATTTTATGGAATTAAGTACATTTTTCTGATAAGGGGCCTCTAGGTATCAACAGACTCTCAAAGGGGTCCATGGCACAAGGACATTAAGAAATTCTGCTCTAAGTGCAATAATAAATTAAACCATCTTTTCATTTCCTTGCAGGGTTCACGAGGCCCAGTAGGTCCTCCTGGTCGTGCTGGAAAACGAGGTTTGCCCGTATGTTCTCTAAAAGTTTTTTTTAATGGCAATCTTAATTTCTTGATAAATAGTTGTACTTTTGGTTAAAAATGAGCTCAATAATACAGGTTTCATATATCTTATATCATATATTTTAAAGCTAAATATAACTGAAGCTTATGAAAGGTAAATTAATAATTAAAATATATTAGTCACTCATTTTAGATTCATCTGCTCTTTAACTAGCTCTAGGTAGAAGATAAATATTCTTAAATACTCTTCATAGCCATTTTTTAAAAAAATACATGTATTTATATAGATGATAAAGCATTGCAAAAGATTAAAGCTCATAGGAAAAATGCATGATTATAGCAAAGGTGGAGACTGTCTAGAGTCTAGACAGATATCTCCACAGTACATGTCAAACCACACTTTGAACGGCTTTTTGCTATTCAATATATGAACCACACACACACATACATGTGAATGATATGCAATGTAGTAAAAAAGTAAATCATGTAGATGTTTAGAGAATGTATGTATGTTTGTGTAGGTGTTATGGATATTTATTATGGATATTCATTTAGGGAATTGGAATTATGACTCATATTCCGTTGAAATCAGTGAGAAACTGGGCGGATGGTTAATGCCTGATCTGAAAAGCATAGAAATGTGCTTAATTTTAGCTGGATTGTACCTTAATGTTTTATTTTTCAACTTTAAGGGTCCCCAAGGTCCTCGTGGTGACAAAGGTGACAATGGTGATAGAGGTGACAGGGGACAGAAAGGACATCGAGGTTTCACTGGCCTTCAGGGTCTCCCTGGACCTCCTGTAAGACATTATATATGTTTGTTTTACTCTTATTCCAATACTCCATTGGCAACTGCTGTTTTTGTGCATACATCAAGTTGTACTTGGAACTACCTCTGCCTCTGCTTCATTTATTGTGGTGGAACACTCCTTTTCTAGGTGATGCGCTCATTCACCTTTTAGAACTTCACATCCCAAAGGCTCCAGTGGCTACCTTGCAAAAAAAGTCCGTAGTAGTTACTAACCTTGACTAATTGTCTTCATCCTCAGAGTGGCATATTTATCTGGGCATAAAAAGTAAGAATACCAGTTCCTTTTAGCTAGCTATTATCTTAAATCCTTTAAAAGATTGCCTGGAGGTTTTCACCACAGGGAATCTGTTGAACGGCTGTTTATCAGCCAGAACAAAAGTATGCAAGGTACAGTACATTGTCCTATAGAACACATTGGAAATGATTGCTAGATGATTCTGCTTTTCCTTTCATTGATCCAGTTTCTACTGAAATCTGGAAGGTCTTCAGAATAAGTTGTCTGTCCTACATTTTGCCATTAACAAGAGATTCACTGGAGAATATTAGCCTTTTTCATATGATCTATACCTCCATGCTGATAGTGTTGCCTAGGGGGAACAAGGACTGATTTTGTAGGAAGGAGTTTTCTCACATTGGCTTCCTTCTCCCTCTAATTTAGGGCTCTGATTTTCCTAGACAGTTAATAACCCTGGGAACCAAGATTCAAAACTGCACTTTCCTGCAGTGGTTGGAGGCCAAGCATAGCTGCCTTCTCTCCAATGTGATCTTAGTCATAAGCCTGTCTGTGCACTTAGAACTTCCTGCAACGTTTCCCCCCCCCCCATCTTCATATTGTTATTATGTCATGAACCAGAAATGCTGAAACTTTAAAGTAAAGAATGATCGGACATCATTGGATACTCAATGTCGAGGTATTCAAAACCATTGTATTTTCTTCTTTAAAGATAAAATGTAATTTAAGAAAATATAGACCATCCACATTGTGTTTTGCAGGGACCTACTGGTGAACAAGGCAGTGTTGGAATTCCAGGCCCATTTGGCCCAAGAGTAAGTAAACCAGATATGAAGTACAATATGGAAACAATTAAGCCCCCCTGCCGCCACGCCCCTCCCCCTCGTTTAGGTTTGCTGTTGTACAGATGGTGTTTGCTGATTTCAGAGTAAAATTAATTTGGCGGGGACTGCAGAGTGCTTTTATTAAGCAAGATTATGCTTGAGGTCATTTACCCTCCCTAATTCCTTTGTGTGTGGAATTCTAAATATAATCTAGCATGTGGCAAAGATGCTAACCTGACAAAGACCTCAGCTTCCAGTCCAGAGAAAAGGTTCTGTCCTTAAAGGTTGTTAAGCTACAAGGAGAACCTCAAATTTGCTGGTATCAGGTGATGGCAACTGTGTTGCATATTAATGTGTTCTTTTCTAACGACCTTTAGTTATCTTTTCTTGCACACAGATCTCAGTGTTCTTCATTCTTTACTCATATTATACCCTTTCCCAACTCCTTATGCCTTTCCGGTTTTGCGTATAACTCAAACAAAATTTAATGGGCCAACTTACAATATAAACAGCTAAAAGCTTAATAATGCTCTGGTTTTAATTTTATCAATGTTTTCAGTGCTTATGTTGGCTGGCTGGGATGTTTGAACATGTTGGGACTTGTGGATTTTATCAGTGTCATTATAATTTTTAAGAAGCTTTAACCCATGATAAAGCATAACTTTTAAGAAGAATGAAAAGTGGATTAATGAAGATCTAAAATACTGGGTAAACATTTTCTCTTTGTGCCAAAATGCATCAAATTAGATATCAGGCAAGATTCCTTCAATGAATAGCTCCAGTTTACCTGTCAGCACACCAGAGTAGGTCTTCTGAAGAATAAGTATTGGAGGGAAAAGATCACTTTCTAAGTATCTTGGATCCAAACGTTGATCCACACATTTAAACTGAGTTAAGATGTGGATGGATACTCAGTGAAAATTGTGAACTTTTGGCATCAACAGTTTTCCCTGAAAAAGGGGGGAGAAAAAGTGCAAAAATGAATGTGAGTGCATGTGTTTGCAAGTGCACATATGAAGAAAACTTCAGCATGTTACAGCTTGAACTTACCAAAATAAAGGATTAAATTGAAGGAAATAAAACAAAACAAAACCCCGCCCTAGATTTCTAGTGGATTGTCATTGGAAGGTCCAGAAAACAGACTCTGCCACATCAAAGGTAACATTAAAGTTGAACATGAGTTTGGTGGCATCCAGCTTTTCTAGTTTCAAATCCCCCCCCCCCGAAAAAACCCAAGCACAGTGGTTTAGTATAGTTAGGTGACAGCAGCTGCTGAAAAGGGCGGTTGGAGCATATTCCACTAGTCAATGCTCATCCACCTGCACCATTTCCCCAAAGGGAAAAGCCAGCTTCATTGTAATGTTTGAACAGCCAGCAACAAGGAAGCTTCTCCCTACAGTGGCCTCTTGGGAGCAAGTGTATGTCATGGTTCACATCTTTTCTCAGAGCTCTGTGGCATGCCCAAATCATGGGGCCTCTATGTCTCCCCAAAGGAAACGCTGGATAGCAGGATGACTTTGGGAGAGAAATGGTCACAGACTGTAATGCAATTCTTTCAAAATAACTTGAACAAGGGGAGCAGGGCTCTAAGCCTGCTTATTTGGTATTTATTCAGTCTCAGCATTAAAAAAAAAAATCTCAGACAATATTGTTGAAATGCTTTCCTAGGTTCTCATCCGGTTGATGGGACTGAAAAAGGGAAGAGGGGATACTTTTCTTTGTAAGTGTTTTAGCTGGTCAGTCAGAACTGTCTCCTTCTGGGAGACGATATCTAAAAGAAATAAAGTTAGCAGACTCAGATGCCAAAAAGGGTGCCTCTGCATTCAACTAATAAAGACGTGGATGCAAGAAAGCCTATTCTTATTCTTTGCATTCTTATTCAGTAGCATTTATTGCCCACCAAATTAGTATTTTAGCATCACTCAGTTAGCATTTTTATCCCATTAGTTTTTTTGCCATTTGCCCCAAAAGCATCAAGAGCACTTTACATGTAATTAACAAAAAATATGACACTGAAGGGAAAAGGGAAAGAGAGAGAAGAGGAAACAAACAAACGAACAGGCCCAGAAATTAGTTCTTAAGGTTAAATAATAATTCTTAAATAATATGCAATTGGATCTTTGGATCCATTTGTGTATTGTGGGCATCAGCAGAGCCAGTTTGCAGTTATCATGTGGAAAGTTGGGAAAGGCCAGAAGTAAAGACCTACCATTTAGTTGAAAAGGAAGGAAATTATTCAGGTGTCCTTATTGATATGATAAACATGAACATTTTCTTACAATACAGGGTCCTCCAGGTCCAGTTGGACCTTCAGGTAAAGAAGGAAATCCTGGACCACATGGACCAGTTGGGCCTCCTGGTGTAAGAGGAACTTTAGGAGAAGCAGGACCTGAGGTAAATAATGGGAAATCTAGTCAGTCAGAAGGAGGAGCAGTTCTGTCCATGGACTGTCTTGTATGGCTTGTATGAATCAAATTACATGCCACTTTGGAAGAAGCCACATTTTCTTTATAAATGCAGGAGACCTGATTGGGATTGAGAATCTAGTGAGGTAGAATTCTGACCCATTTGCTCCTTGTTTCAGGAACAATCCAGATCAGACTCTTTGTCCTTGTCCTTTGCACTGCCATTCCATAGTTTGCTTATTCAATGGATCACTTTTTGATGATGGAAGTATGATGGAAGTGATCCAGATCCAAATCACATCAGGCAATAAAGGAGCAAAAAACTCTCCTACCCTTCCTATCCTATCAAGATTAGGTCCTCTAAATTTTTTTTTAAAAAAAGAGTAAACCCTACTTCAAATTGTGTTTGATGCCTGATGATTTCATGGGCATTTTATGTGTTTTTCATGACAACACTACAAAAATGTTTCACTATTGCCTCTGCATAAGCTCAAGAATAAAAAAAAAGCGGGGGGGGGGGTTAGGGGGGACTGCTTTACCCTGAGAAAAAGAAATACACAAAATTGTTTGTTATAATGAGTTTAGGTCTTGTCAATACCATTTAAAATTAGATTGCTTTGTTATGAATGGCTTTGAATGTTTTTGGCAGGAAAGCAAGGTATAGATTTATTTTAAACAAGCAAATAAATAAAGTGTTCCTACTGCTGCACTTCCATGTTTCATTGAAAAAGTGAGGGAACTATTACTGTACTGTATTATACTTGTTCTGTCACAGGTTAGCCCTACCAACCTCAATGCTCATTCTCAAATGTGTGTAGGATTGCTCTTAGGGTTCCTCCAGATCAGTCTTCCCCAGCCTGGGGCCCTTTAGATGAATTAGGACTAAAAATGCCTGAACTCCCAACCAATAACTGGCCGGAAATTCTAGGAACTGTAGTCTCAACACATCTGGTATCTACAGTGTTGGGGAAGGCTACTCCAAATAATCATTCTTAATATTTGTCCAGTTATTAATCAATTAGAATTACAATATTCTATTACTGAGACAATGTAATTGTTCCTTTGCTACACCCACTGCACATAGCTACTGAATCTGAAGCAAACTGTGTAGCTAAAAGAACACATTCCTAATAGTGATTGGAACTAGCATCCAATTTCTTGTATTTTGTATCCTAGATATTATAATCCTGAATGTGGTCTGTGTTACTGCTTTTGTGTATAGGGTCCTCCTGGTGATCCTGGCCCTCCAGGCCCACCAGGTCCCCCCGGCCACCTTACTGCTGCAATTGGTGACATTATGGGACATTATGATGATGGTCTAGCAGATCCACTACCAGAGTTCACTGAAGATGAAGCTGCTCCAGATGACAGCAATAAAACAGATCCAGGAGTCCACGCCACACTGAAGTCACTGAGTAGCCAGATCGAAACAATGCGTAGTCCTGATGGATCCAAGAAACACCCAGCCCGTACTTGTGATGATTTAAGGCTATGCCATCCATCCAAAAAGAGTGGTAGGTGTTCATCTGCTTGTTTAAAAAAAAAACAAAAAACAGTCATCAAATGTGTTTAAATAGAAGTGCAGGCTTAGCTATGCTTATTTCTGGAAGGAAAATGCAACCAGGGCCTGGAAGGACAACATTATGAGGAATGGGTGGAAGAATTGTTAGCTAGAAAAGAGAAGACTGAGAGGAACTTGATAGCTGTCTTCAAGTATCTGAAGAGGTGTCATATAGAAGATAGGGTAGAATTGTTCAGAGTTGTTCCAGGTGACAAGAAGCAATAGGTGTAAGTTACAAGAAGTAGATTTCAGTCAGACATGATCAGCAAAAAGTATCTAATGGTAGTAATTCCTAATGGTTGAACAATGGAACAGACTGCCTTGAATGGTGGTGGACTCTGCTTTGCTGGAGGTGTTTAAACAGAGGCTGGATGGCCATCTGTTAGGAATGTTGTAGTTGTAGATTTCAACACCGAGTGGGGGGATTGGATAATATTGTCCAAGATCCCTTCCATTCTTCGATTGTCCTTATTAACATGTCCTCTTTCTCTTCACTTTTTCTCTTCATTAAACCTGTACCAGAGTAAAGGAACTAAGATTTAATCAACTTGCTACAAGATAGCCAGAATATAAATAAAGGAGGCAGCCACAAAAGATGAGAAAATTTAAGAAACACTTGTGAAGACTCTCCAAATATGCACCAAAATATTTGATACTTAATAAATGTTTCCAAGGGAAAGAATTCTTATAAGAACGGGCAGCACAAATTAAGAAAAAATAGGCCAAAGATGGAGTTGTCAAATAATTAAACCAATTCTACTCTTGCTTAAGTCTTAAATGTAAGGAAGATTGCTAATTATGAATAAAGAAAGTTAATATTAAGATTTATACAAACATATTCAATTGAAAAGGCAGTAATTTTATAAATGCAGTTTGAACTGGCCCAAGTTTGAAATATTGGACAACAAAAATTAAGAATTTGAATATTAGTTTAGTTGTCTTTGGACCGTGTTGTCCACACTTGGCCATTTTAAGATGAGTGGACTTCAACTCCCAGAATTCCCCAGCCAGCATGGCTGG